TTGGAGTCAGATTCGAAGAAATCTACTGTGAAAAAAGATTCTTTTCAAGACACTCAAGGAAATGTGGTCATGGACTGGACATTCAGTGATATCGAGGAATCCTCAATAGTTTTCCTGAGTGTGGAAGTGGTCTTATGGATAGGTAACAAAGTGTCCTAATTAATTAAATTAATGTTATTAATTCATTCACTAATTACATGTAGTTAATTGATAAAATTAATGCTATTAATTTTTAGAGGTGTTTTTGTAGTATGTTGGGGTGAATCGATGAGTTGGCTGAGATTAGCTTTAAAGTACTTCTGCAAGGAGATAAAAGGAAAGAGACCAAAGAGGATCAGGGCAAACATGCAAACGATGACAGCTGAGCCTGGGATGGAGACATTGTGGCTCACGGTGCTAACCTTGTACCTGTGAGGAGATATGAAACATTTCCAAATAGAAATTAATATATAAATTACAAATACACAGAATATATTCTTTTCTTCTACCTCACTAATCACCACGTAGGTCTTCCTTACAGAGAGGGCTGGCTCACACTCCTGAAACCCAAATTCAGATGCATTCCCCAGACAACTCTGCTTGCTCCCCCTGGCATGCTCTGCCCCCTGGGACCCCCGCTCCTGACCAGGGCTCTGCCATCTTCCCCACCAGTCTCTACAGGCATCATCAGTGACTTGCCTCCCCCTCCCCATCACATCCAATCAGCTGCTCACTGAGTCCACCTGCTGTGGCCTCAGAAAACGCTGTCCCTTCTCCGCTTCTGATCCCTATGGTCCACTCCACATCTGACCCCACCGATCGTGTCCCCTTACCCCATCCCATTCCCCATTCCACACCCCCCTACACACAGCTTCATCATCCTCAAGGCCCGCTCTGGTCAAGATGCATTCAATGTGTCCATGTGGGCGGAGACCAGGTTCCTACCTTGGCTTCAGCCCTCCACCACCACAGTCCCTGCACAAGCCCACCACGAGGTCAGCCCAGGAGGTGGCTTTAGACACATCAAGGAGAGAATTCCCCCTCTCCAGCATCCTTTTTTCTTTCTTTTTTAAAAATTCAGTTAAAATACACATAACAAAAAATTTTACCCAATTAACCATTCTTAAGCGTACAGTTCAGTGGTACCAAGTTCATTCACGTTGTTAAGCAGCCATCACACTCATCTTTCTCTAGAATTCTTGTATATCTGACACTCGGTCCTCAGTAAACACAGGCTCCCCTAGTCCCCCTCCCCCAGCCCCTGGCCAACACAATTCAACTTTCTGTCTCTGTGGACTTGACTGCTCCAGGCACCTTGTATAAGCAGAGTCACACAGCATCTGTCCTTTTGTGACCAATTTACTTCACTTAGCAGAGTGTGCTCAAGGACATTATTGCTAGAAGGGAAAAGAAGGGAGGTAATTTCAAGGAAAAAGAGGAGGTAAGTGCTAGTTTGGATGTCGCTAGGAAGAGAGAATAGTCTTGAAGGTGGGGAAAGGATGGCTCATACTAACAAGATGTTAGCTGTCTCTCTCACAGCAGAGTGGTTAAGAGCAAGGCATGGATGTGAGTGTATGGCGTGGATTTCTGCCCTGCCATGCATTCACTGTGTGACCTTGACAGGTCACTTTAACCTCTCCGAGCCTCCATGTGCTCGTCTGTAAAATGAGGGTGGTGGTAAGAACAACGGCTACCTCATAGAGTCCTGGTGAACTTTCTGCCCAGACTGAAGGTGATTTCACACACAGTGAATACCTAGTGAATGAAGGAACAAAAACATTTTTCCTCTTCCTGGCATATCCTTGTCCTTCTGTGTTGGCTTCTAGAAAGCCTGCCCTTACTCCAAGGCTGAGTTGACACATCACCTATGAGACCCCGTGAATATTTGCCTCCCATCATGTACTTGAATGGAAACAACTTTTTCTAACCATTTCTCAATCAGAACTTTGTTCCAGGCCTGTGATTAGTACTGGGGACTGGAAGATGAATTGAGTTCACATTCTCCTGAAGAGAAAGACAGGTGAGCAGAGGGGAGTGAACAGTGAAGGCCATCTGGCATTCCAGTGGACAGAAACACTAGCAGTAAGGATCTGAACTCAAACACCTCCAAGAGTTCAGCAGATAATGCAAACAGGATGGATGTAAAAAGACAAATTAAGAGCCACCCCCCACCACCAGTCTGGATTTTACTTTCATGCTTCTGAAAGTGAAAATGAAACATGGGTCCAGAGAAATACTTCTGTATTGTAAGGAACATATGAACACATGCCAACTGATGCATGCATGGGGAGAGGTGATAGGGAGTAGCGGGGATTGTGGCAAAGGAGAGGTCTGGTGCCTTGTCTGAAGAAGCTGCCACATTCAGCCCAATGTTTACCAAGTGAAGATGTGGGCCCAGTGTCACCCATCTTCTGATTTCTTAAGAAAACACTGGAAATCTGTATTTCCAGTTGACATCTGCATTTTTAAATGCCAATAACTATTTCAAATGTTTACAAAGAAGACACTATGTAAGCCAAACAGCACAGGTCGTGGAACTGGGTTAGACTCGGGGGCTGTCACTTTGTAACTGCAGTGTGTGCTGGGGAAAATGCAGGGGCTGGGGAGAGGAGTCTGTGAGCATAGGCAACATTTTCAAAGGGGGAAGAAAAACTGGCCTTGGTAGGAAAGGAGTCAGAGAGCACTAGTAGGGGGCACTGTTTTGTTTTGGTTTTAACAGGACATGTAATTCATCATGTGTTTGGGCTGAGGGGTAAGAGGGCAAGGGAACTGGAGAAGATGCAGGTGAGAGGAGTGGCAGATGGTGTAGACAAGAGCCTCGGCATCCGGATCAGAAGAAGCAGGATCCGATTCTTGGAGGAGGGAGGAGGGAGGAGGGGGTGGGGCAGGAGACAGAGAGAAAGCTGTGCGTGTGTGAGGGATTTCACACCTCATTGCCTCAGTGTTCTCACAGCAGACGGGTCATCCGCAGAGGACAGAGGGAGATGCAGTAACGACCTACACCACCCCTATAAATAATAGTGACAGCAACACGGCCGCCACCGTCCCCTGGCGCGCGCAGGTGTGCCAGGCACTGCGGGGAACTCCTCATCCTTCTGATCCTCGCCACAGTTCTCCGCGGCAGATACTGTAATGACGCCTGTCTTGTTACAGGCGGGGAAGGCCCTTGATCAGAGCCATGCAATTAATGGGCGCAGGGCAGGGACCCTAAAGCCGACTGACTTCAGGGCCCACGCTCCTCGCCAATGCAGGTGGTACACACGTGCGCAGACGGACACAGGGCGCTCACATGCGCGGGGCGCGCGCGCATGGGCACACAGGTACGGCGCGCTCAACACACGGAGAGGCGAGCACAGACCCCGGACCCCGGCGGGGCCAGAGCACCCACGCCGCACAGGCCGGCACACAGAGGACGTTCAGTGCGGGGCCGTTCCTACCTCCTCGAGGGGAGGCGGAAGTCCCAGGGCAACCCACAGGCGGTAGACAGACCGCGCTGGGAGGAGAAACGGACGCAAAGCGGACCCAGCCCCTCTCATTGCCACCGGCCAGGCTTGGAGACCCCTCCCCAGGCCCGCATCCCTAGAGCGCCTCTTCTCTCACCCCGTGCGCAGTCACGCCCGCACAGGTTCACTCTCACACGCGCGCCCCCGGACCACCGCCCGAGCCCCCAGCCCCTTTCCCCCGCGCCCCCTCCTGCCCGCGGGGTCCCTCGATGGACTCACCCTCCCCAACCAGACCCTGTCCGGCACTGCAGAGCCGGCGCCGCAGCGACTGCGGCTGCGCAGACGCGGAGGCGGCGGGTGGGAGGTGGGGGAAGTCCGAGGGGGCGGGCGGCCTTCTTCCCTCCTGCCCCCACCTCTCCGGGAGCCTGCGCCTACAGGGCGATAGGGAGGGGAGCGGAAGGGCGAAGGTGACCACCTGTCCCAGGTGCGGTTGCGGGGCTGTGGTGCCGCGCCCACCGTCAGGGTGCGCCGAAGTGGGATAGGGCTTCCAGCCCGCGCACCCACTGCCACAGACGCCCTCTAGGGTCAACAACTTTCTCAGGCCCCTAGGTGGTTCCTTGCCTATAACCCAGGGCCAAGGGTGGGAGGGAGGTGGAAGGCAGGGGTGTGGCAGCCCAGGGGCCCTGAGGCCGGACATCCTGGGGTCAGAGGCTGGCTCTGCTATTTGCCACCAGTTTGTCCTTGGATGTGTCACAAATCATTTCCGTGCCTCAGTTTCCCATTCTGTAAAGTGAGAATTATACTTACCACCTGCCAGCATTGCTGTGAAGGTTAAAAAGTAAGTAATGTTCATACACTGCTTAATAGCTATTAGCTGTTGGCTACTATTATTATTGTCATTATTCACCTTTACAATGCAATCAGCACAGCCAAATTGCTCTCACGGAGGCTACATCGAATTTTTTAAAAATTTTTGGAAAAACCCATAGATGGGCGGGTCTTCCTTTATCGTATTATTTTCATTTACGAGTGAAAGGGAACACATTTACGTTTGTTGGCCAGATTTATCTTCTCTCCTGTGAGTTGCCCATTTATACCCTCCTGCATTATGCTACTTATTGGTAGAAATTTTATTTATTGATTTATAGGCATTCTTTAATATATTCTGGATATTGATCTTTGACTGTTAGTCTCGCCGTGGCGGGGATTTTTTCCCAGCCTGTCATTTTTCTTTCCTCTTTGCTTATACAGTGCCTAAAGTCGTGGATTTTTATGAAGTCCAAGAAATTGATTTTTTAATGCTTTTCCTCACCCTACTCTGACAAACACACTTTCCTGTAAGATCTCATACTTCACAGTCTTGTTTTAGATGTTTAGTTGCTTAAACCTTCTGGATTATTTTTTAATGGTGTGAGGTAAGGATTTAACTTTCTTTTCCCAATGGATAGACAATTGAATAATCCTGGTTACTTAGGAGAAAACAACAGTCAAAATAACTATTACTTATCCAGCGACTATGATGAGCAGAGACATCGTATGTACATTATCTTATTAATTCCAGCAGCACCCAAAGGGGTGTTTGATGCCGATGTTTCTGAGGTTAACACACGGGACAGCCTGGATAACTCATATATCAGCATTTGGAGACTCTGGAGATGAGGGTTGGGAGTGGATTGAGGACTCTGCTCAGAAGAGCACATGCATCTAGTAGAGGCGGTGCGAAAAGTAGGTTCCTGGCGCTGTCCGCGGTGCTGAACCGGGCGCTCATGAGCTGTCCGTGGTGCTGAATCCCTGGCCCACTACTTGGAGACTCTCTTTTCTTTTTCTCTCCCTCAAAGTACCCATGCTCCTAGGAAAACCCTGATGTTGGCTGGAAACAAAACTCTCCGGGCTGTGGGACAGGTGGACTGAAAGAAGATGAGGGCAAAAACTAGTCATTTTCTAAAAAATATGCTATTAATATGAGCTCTTCTATGTACTAACTGCAGATTTTTACTTTTATTGAAATATAGTTGATTTACAGTATTGTGCTAGTTTCAGATGTATGGCAAAGTGATTCAGTTATGCATGCTTTTTCATATTCTTTTCCATTATAGGTTATTACAAGATATTGAATCTAGTTCACTGTGTTACACGGTAAATCCTTGTTGTTTATTTACTTTATATATAGTGGTATGTGCCTATTAGTCCCATACTCCTAATTTACCCCTCTCCTCCTCTTCCCTTTTGGTGCAGAGTCATTTTTAAGAGGCAGCTTTGGCTCTTAGGATAGCAGGACCTGGCTACATCATACTGGATTTATTAACATAAAGTTTCCTAAATATCTCTGAGGTGGGGAAGGAAATGTACAAAAAGGAAGACATGGGACAGATATGCCAGGACTCAGGCTGTTGGTTACCTTGGGTTGGGGAAGGAAGGGGAATGACATGGGAAGTGCTATGTGGGAATACGTAACTTATTGACAAGTCCCAAGTTTTTGTGCTGTAAAGTGGGGGTTACAAGAAGGATATTATTGTAGATTTACACAAATACATCACTGCTATATTTTATGCTTATCTGAATTATAAACATTTGAAATCATGAGCTTTGGGTGGCATTTTTTGAAATGACAAGAACACTTGCAATTTAAAAATTCCTCAAATATCTATACTTTTGAATATGATCCGTTGTGTAAACTGTAAACTGTGTTTGCTATTTTAGTGTCACTGTAGCTGGTGAGTAAACATGCCGACCATCTTTTGTTAGGATTAGTCTTGAACTACGTGGGCTTTGAATTGTGTAAGATCTTCACAAATGAGTCCCTGGCATAAAATCCATCCACTCTGGGATTGATAAATGAATGAATGAACACTTTTTCCCTTCCCAGTGATCTGCTCACCAGAGAAGCCACAACTGTTCCCACTGCTATGAAGAGACAGACACTACAAAGCACCCACCACATGCTGGATATTGCAGGAACACTCAGGATGTTGAGGCATTTCCCCCTTTTCCAAAGTGGATGATTTTCACATCTCTTCAAGGGGCAGGAAGATTTTTGGCTCTGATTTGAGCTCTTTAACCTGCTAGAGCCACCAAAATCTGGCTCTTTTATACTTTTCTATTTTCTCATGGAGCTCTTGTCCCAGAGGGTTTTGATATTCCAAATTCTCTAAGGAAGCTGTAGCTTATTACATTATGTATATATATTTTTTCTTGCCTACTGTCTGTCTCACCTTCTAGAATTTAGGCTCCATGATGAGGACTCAGGGACTTCATCCCTGAGTCTCCAGCATCTAGAACACTTCTTGGCACATACCAGATGTTCCATGAAGTTTTTGAAGGGCTGAGTGAATGAAATGTTGGCAACTCATCAATTAATTACATTAAAAAGAAAATGAGTGAATTGAACCAAGAACATCAGTTGACTGGATGCAGCCCAAGATTTGTCCAGTTGAGTCCTCCAAGATCATTGAATCCCTATGAACTCTGCCATGAAACAACTTCATGGGCTGGTGATCTGATGCTCCCTCATCCAGTCCACTAGTGGTGGCTCAGAAGGCAGGGTTGTGTGGCATCAGGCAGGGAATCGGGTCAGTAAGGATCATCCCACAAGGAGAAAAATTTTCTTCCTCCCTTTTAACAGTTGCAGGGAATTAAACACACCGTGTGGTTGCATCTAATTATTGTGACCCTTCTCCCAACTGGCAGACATTTAGGTTATTTCCAAACAGTGATCATTTGGGAGATTCAGACTCCTTTGAGAGAGGCCCAAAGTCAACTTGTAAACAACACAGCCAGGATTTATCCAGGGCAACCTGTTGCCAAAGATCTTCTTGTTTCACTACTATTGAAAATTGCTCAGTTTACTCAACAGAGAAAAAAGTAGAATGAATGAAGTGAGAAATCTCACTTAGTTGCCAGAACACTTGAGGCATCCAGTCACTTGGGGTGTCTAGGGTGAGAACATAAAATGGCAGAGAGTTGCCAAGTCTGCTTAGAGAAATACGTGTCTTCCTGCCCACCCCATAGCACAGAGCTTTTCTGTAGTCTGACTGATGGGGTTAACATTCTAAAGACAGAATCCTTATAAATCAAGCAAGGTCTGTGGATAGCTTGTTGCGTTCTCAACAAGATGTTATCAGTTGGGTAATGTTATTATCCTCATTTTACTGAACAAAATCTTGGTGGCCTGTTATGGAAAGGTCTCGAAGACACATAATTGCATGGAAAAAAAGCAACTTGCAAAACCACAAATGTAGTCTGACATCACTTACATGAAAACCAAAACGCATAAAACAGTGTCAGGTATCTCCTATAGCTGCACAGATGCGCATGTAAAGGCTTGCCAAATTTAAAACATAAAAACTATTTAAAAGAAAAGGCTTACAAGATTAACAAGTTTATCAAGGTCACATTTGTTCATTCACGATGGAAACCCAGTAATTTTGTTAAACAGTTATCACAGCCAGAAAGTTCATGACAGATCTTCAAATCTTTGAGTGGCAAAACTCAGGGATAAAGCTGTTTTTGCTTGGATTCTAGGCTTACAAAAGTGTTTTGTTCCTTAGGGACCAGGACCAAACAGTGTAGCCCTGTTATATTTGGTTAATCTCAGGGTGCAAACTAATTTTTCTTTCTGATTATGGCATGCTGTAAACGTGACAGTTTTGCTTCCACACATACTGCTTGTAAAATAAAGAGTTAAAATCCTAAAATCCAAAGATACTGACCATTGTATGACATATTTCAGTGCCAGAGATGTTAGAAAGTTAAAAAAAAGTAAAAGTTCATCTTAACATCAGTGAAATGTGATATATAGATTTAATTATCACAAAGTATTCAATAACAATAGCGCATACATCATAGTAATTGGCTGATACACATTTGGCATTGTTACATGGGATGGGTAATGTTAGCCAGGCTCATGCTGTGGATAAGGAAAGTGAGGCTCAGAATCAATGCATTCCCAGATACCCAAACACAAATTACGTCTACTTCTATGGGCACAGAGATTTATCAAGTCAAGAGTGGAAATGCCTTCCCAGCACTCCCCAAATTCACAACAGTCACTCACCTCTAGAGCAGAGACTGGTGCTGATGAAGTGAGCTCAGCAGGAAATCCTGATTTATCAATACGTTTTGACCTTTGAGAAAGGCAGTGTGTTTACTTATTGACTGTCAAGAAATAAAAATAAAGTAATTTTTAAAAAGGGATTTTGAGAAGGCAAGTCCCCCCTGTGAGAGATGAATTATGAATTATGAACCACTCACCCCTGATTCCCACTGTCTGGCACACAGCAGGCGCCCTCCTGATAGCTATTAAACCAAATCACCTGGCTCACACAGCCAGTAGACAGCAGAGCTGTGATTCAGACCCGAGACCCACTGGCTCTGAAGCCTGCCTTCCTCCCCCATCCTCCTGTCCTACACCACAGGCAACCTACTTCAGAAGGATTTTCAACACCAGAAAAGACAGACCTCCCCTTCCCAGTCGCACCCCAAAATAGGTTTTGTACATTCCCCTGGGAGGGGCCTGGGGGATGGCTGGCAGTGCCAAACTCCTCTGCTTTGCTGTCAGCCTCCGCAAGAGTCCTCTTCTCCCAGACAGGATCCCAAATCCATTCTTGGGCAGCCAGCCTGTCTCTCCTCTCCATCCCTGAAAGATGGGTTGATTGCTACGGAAACCCACAATGCCCTCCCGAGGACATATACCACCAGCAATGGGGAAGATGAGATGTGTGTGTGTGTCTCTGTGTGTGTGTACATGTACATCATCTCTTGAATGCTTCCAAAGAAACATAATCGTGGTTGCCAGAATAGAATGCAGTGTTGGAAGGTGGGGAGAACCTAGATTTTTGTCATATACACTTTTGTTCTTTTTGAGTGTTGTATGAGTAATGAATGAATAATAAATACATAAAGTGGAAACTTAGGTAAATTTTTCAAAGGTTAGGATAAAATAAATAAATAATTGAGGTACAATGTTTACATGAGATGTATGGTGGCTTAAAATTTTTAAGAATCAAAGTCACATACCCACATACATGTTGAAAATCAAATAGTTCTAGGTGGTAAATATCAGGTGGTGAATTATCTTATTCCCTCTACTGTCTTGTAGATTTGTGGGGCTTCACTGTTAAGTTTTGAAAGGGCACCACAAGGGTCCCGGTTTCAGGTAAGTTAGAGAAAGCAGACTCTGCTCTGTCTCTCTCACTGAGGCGTTTCATAAATTAGCAACCTGTAGAGTACTAGGAGCCAGGCTGAGAATTTTAATCACCAACAGGGAGCACCCTTTGTATGATGTGTGGGATGAGACAAGGTAGCAAGGACAGGGACCTTCAGCCAGAAGCTGTTTACCAACTTTCACAGAAGCATCTCAGTAGATTAACAACCTGTACAGAAGTAGCAGTGTTTCTTCTGCCTTCCTCTCTGTCTCTTTATATATATGACTATACAGTTGTGCAGACACTAAGTATATACACTTTATATATAGTTACATAGTAATATATGTAAAGTGTATACACTATATGCAGTTATATATGTGTGCATATATATACTTTTTAAAAACACAAATGAGAGTGCACAAGATACACCGTGGTCAAGATACACCGTTGTTTGTTTTTGCATTTAGTGCTGTGCCTCAGAGCTCCTTCCCTATCAGTTTATTCAACTCTTCTTCACCATCTCTTACCCAGGTGAATCCTGACCTACTTAGCCAACCTTCTAAGGACAGATCCTTGGATGCTGCTAATTTTCCCTCTCTACCAAGCGAGGCTCCAGTGAACACTGCAGATAGCCATACAGTGGTCTTTGCTAAAGGGGACTCTGCTCAGATGTCACCTCCTTAGAGAGGCCTCCCGGAATGCCTAAGCTGAAGTAGCCTCCCCCTTCCCTCTCCACCTCATTACCTCTGACCATGCGCAGGAATTAGCGGTGGTGGCTCCACACAACAAAGGCTTGGTGTGCTCACTGCTGGGCTCCACCTGGCACAGAGGAGCTGCTCAGATACTTGCTGAATGAATGACTCCCCACCCACACCGAAGCCTCTTGTCTCATTGAGATTCTTGCTGATCAGAGGATGCAGAAATTCTACATATTCATATACCTAGAGCAGCCTCTCCCCTACCCTTGGAGGGTAAAGAAAGAAAGAAGGAAAGAAAACCTCAGGCTCCTTCTTGGCCTAATTCTCCCCCTTCCCACACACTTCTGCTCACATCAACCTCCCTGTGTTACACTGAATTCAGCAGTGAATACTTCAACACCTACCAACTTCACACCTACCTCTCTCTGTGAAGCAGCTGATTACCTACAAATAAACATCCACAGTCACAGGAGGCAGCTCTTTAAATAAACTTGGGCAAAAGAAAAATTCCCCCTATGAACTTTCATGCCTTGGGAAATACTTTTTGGTTAAATGAGTATCTATGATGAAGGAAGAATCTATGGAGCCTCCTAAGATGATGCTGCTGACGGGGCTGAGTGGGTGGGGAGATGGATAGATTTAATTCCCTCCCAATATTTCTCCCTGGTCTTGGGAGACCAATAAACCCCAGGGAAACTTTTCTGATAACAGGTGTGAAGTACGGTTGCACTTGAACCTCACATCAATCTTAGGAAGTGACAATAAAATTATCACAAAGATAACGATGACACTTCTATGTGCCAAGAACTATCCTAATTGTTTCACTGTATACCTTCATTTGTTCTTCATAACAGCACCATAAGGTGGATACTATCCATATCCCCATTATACAGAGGAGGAAACTGAGGTGCAGAGAAACTGTCACTTCCCCAAGGTTCCTTAACAGGGGAGTGACAAAGCCAGAGTCTGAACGCAGCAGTCCACCCAGGAAGCTATCACATGATACTGCCATTTCTACCTCATTGGTCAGAACCCAGTCACCTGGGCACATCCAGCTGCAAGGGAGACTGGGAAATGCAGCTAAAACTTAGGGGTTCTGGCACAGTGAAAGAGGGAGAGACAAGTTTAGGGGGACAATGAGCAGTCTCTACCCATTCCTCCCCCAACCTTGGATTTTTCTATGTAGTTAAGATCCCCAAACTCAGGAGCACACAGCCACCCTCCAGGATGGGCCAGGTAAGTAAGTAAGACAGGCATTCTTAAACAACAAGGTCCTACTGTAGCACAGGGAACTATATTCAATATCTTGTAATAACCTATAATGAAAAAGAATATGAAAAGAATATATATGAATCACTATGCTGTACACCAGGAATTAACATAACATTGTAAATCAACTATACTTTAATAAAATAAAAGAGACAGGCATTCTTATACATTGGTGAGGGAAGTGTCAGCAGGAAACTCATTCTAGGAAGGTGTATCAGTTAGTCATTGCTAAATGATGCCATCTTCAGGTAGACAGTGTCTCCAACTCCCAGCTGGGGCCCGAGATTGCTTGGTAGTGTAGGGGGAAAAAACACACACATTGAAACTGGTGTCGGAATCAGCAGGTTACTAACCTCCAAAATCCTACAGCATCACTGCTGCCATATTCTCTTGGTCAAAGCAACCCACAAAGACAGCACATATTCAGGGAATGGGAAGACAGAGTCTAGCTCCAGAGAGCAGGAGCTACAAAAAAGAAAAATCATGGTCATTTTTAATATTCAAAATGAAAAAGTTATAAATAAAAAAGGAAAGATAAAGGGTGGGAAGAGCAATGAAAAAAAAAAAAACAGCTTATGGGAAGAAGTAGCATGAGGGCTCCTGTCCTAAGACCACACAGGTGCCCTGAGATGGTGGCCACCGCCTTCATGGCAGGCGAATTCTGCTCTGCCTGTTTCATCTCTGTGAGCTCTGAGCTTGGACCTTCTAGCTCAGATCCAAATAGAGATAAAAACGCAGCCACGTGTTACCCCCACCTTGCTGACGCTGTCCTGTGGCCGTTCCCACATTTATTATACCTAAGCCTCTCCTCCTGCAGTTAAATGACATGATATGTGTGTCAAGAGTTTCTGGTGGGAGGCGGGGGGCGGCTGTCACAAAGTGCACACTCGAGCGGTAGTAAGACTGGTTATATTCAGTGGAGGGCACTTCTCACGGTGGATTCAAAGGCTTAATTCACATCAACTGCTTAGGAGGATCTCTGGCACTTAAAACAGACCCGTAAGTGCTGTGGTTGCTACTGTTATTGTTAATGTGGGGCTTTTAAGAGGCCCCATACAAGAGAATACAAGAGAATCTTAGTCTGTATAACGAAAATGGCTAAGGCTTTAGAACTGCACCGTCCAACGCAGTAGCCACATGGAACTCTAATATTCTAGTTAAATTAAACACAGCTAAAAATCCAATTCCACGTCCAGAGTAGCCACACGTCAAATCCCCAACAGCCGCACGTAGCCCGTGGCCACCCACCGGACGCGCGAATACAGAACATCTCTATCTGTGCAGAACCTTCCCTTAGACAGCGCTGCTTAGCGGGCGCCAGTTCCTGTTTTAAGGACTTTACGCCAATTAACCGTGGAGCCCACACGTGTAACAACCCTCTATACAAGGTAGGTTTCCTGACTGCAACCTCTTTACAGGGGAGGAAACCGAGGCTCAGAACATCAGGACACTGGCCCAAGCACGCAGAGCTGGGTGTGCACCGGCCGATCTGCCTCCCATCCCGTTCTAATCGGTCACCTCTTGCCGTTCTTTGCAGTGTGTCTGGAGCAGTTCCTTCCCCCATCCTTGGTCCCCACACCTTCCTCCGACCTCTCTCCTTCCTCTCCCTCTATGGTCCTCTCTTGAAGCCCCTCCTCCCTCCTCTCCCTCCCCCCCCTCCCGCTCCCTTCTCCCTACTCCACTCTCCTCCTCGCCCCTCTCCCTCTCCCCCCGACTCCTCCTCATCCCGGGTACCCGACTCCCCCACTGGGTCTCCGCCAGCCCTGTCGGGGCGCGCGGAGGCTTCCGGGAGCACCGAGGTGG